AAACGGTTTATCAAGTCAATTTCTCCTTCCAATTTCTTTCAAAATTTGCGACATTTCAAGATATAAACACAGTTATTACATTATGATGGTGTTTCACTCATCTTGGAAATTACAGAAAATAATATAAGAATTTTGTTGACCGTTAGATGGCAGATCATTGTTTTTAAAGAAAAAATAAATTACAAATAAAAGATATTACGAATCGGGATAATAATGAACTATTTCACGAAGGGCATTGGTTTGGTTAGTGAATATCGCAGTAAAACTTAATTTTGATAAATGCAAGTGATATCTTTTCAAACAAAGCATAATAGATATATTTTTAAGTTATAATACTTTAATAGAAAATGATTCCTTTTTCTGATCAGCAATTAAACTGAAAACTAATTTTAATTCTATATGTATTAATTAGTGATAAAACAGATCATATCAGCATATAAATGTGTTTAGTTTAGTGTTGATTAGTGTAATGTACTACATTATATAAGTATTTTCATATTTTGCACAATATCTGGTCATATGCTTAGTTTTCATTCTACTACATCATCTTAATCGTCACTTTATAGAAACTATTCTAAAACTCGTTGACACGTCCCAAGAAGAGGATCATGCCAGATCTGTTGTCTCTGATGATAAAAAGGAATGGATGATCAGCATAAAAAATTGGACCTAAAGAAGTAACAACAATAACACCTCCAGTTACAGCAGCTGCTTCGCTTTCTTCTTCGTTTACCTCAATAACTGCTTTATGTTTAATTTCAGAAACAGACAGCTCATTCTTACTGCTGATACTCGACAAATCTGACTGTCCTGATTTAAACAATTTGGTCAATCCGAGTGACTGCAAGGAAGGAGATAAATTCTTTTTCGTATGTTAAGTTAAACTTGGGTAAAACAACACTAATTTTGGTTTCTCTCATTTGTCCAATTATTTCTGTCAATTTGTTAGGGTTCAATTGACTTTTCAGAGCAGGAAGACCGTCCCTATGGTCAGGAAAAATGGCAAACATGTTAATGTATTTTCTTTTGTTAGGCAGTTCAATCATTCTTGCTTGGAGATCAGCTACTTCTGTAAAACTAAAAACCTTTGTTAAATGCATGAACAAGGTATTTTTCTCATCTGCTCATCCTGATACCCAAGTGTAACTTCTAGTTCTCGTGCTCTCCGAGATACACCATATCCATTGCTGTTGAGATGCTGAAGGTTTTCATCCTTCGGTAAGCTATAAACAGATCTAGTGCAAACGTTTTACTGGCTCTTGCAAGTTTCTGAATTTCATTTGTTTACGTCTGGTCCTGAGCTGGTACTGCGATCACAGTAACCCAGGTCATCAAAAGAACACTTAAATACAGCATACTCATACCTACAGTTTAGAAAAAAAAAGAAGTATAAGAAGATGTAAAATATTATGATATAGTAAGAAAATATTTCAAAGTCATACCATCACAATTTTGCCTTTAATCTTAATGCCAAATCGAGTTATAAAGCCACTACATGTACT